CTCTTCGAGTGCCTCTCTTAATTCATAAGTTTTTTTGGTCAACCTTGTTGTTAACCATACCGCATAAAAAAAATCTAAATTAGATAGGTCAGGTGACCGAGGAGACCCATGCAATTGGTCCAACTCCCTGAGTCTACATAATTATGATATAAATAATTTTTTAAATAACATTTCTTTCATTGTAGGTGGGGGGATGGTGCGTCATAATGAAAGTCATGTTGGAACCACTGTATTAATGCGCGAGTATCTAAATTTAACTTTTTTAACATGTCTTGAAAACCGTTTTCTAAAAAACGTAACGTTCACCGGTCAACATATCCTCGAAACTGTATGGCCAAGAAAAGTTGAACCAATAATTCTACACGCTCTTCTTCATTTAAAAAACTCTTATTTACAATTTTTGTTTATGTTAATTTACAAAGATTGGATGTGACAATTTCACATTTCTGAGAGCAACGACGATTGAACTTGTTTCCATGGCTAACTAAGTGAAATTAGTCAAGAAAGATAAGAATTGGCTATAACTCAGTAATTTTGTGAAAGAAACATATTATAGCTTATATTGCTGAAAAGCTTAAAAAATGGCGCTTTTTATGAAGTCACAGCCAACTATGGTTTCCATTTAAAAAAACATATGTTTGTGTCATATGTCAAAAATGACAGGTTTTATAAAAAATCGGAGAACACAGACTCATTAGGAATATGATTATCTACAACTTTTATCTGAATACTTTTTGTCTAAAATAGATTGTAATGGAATTAGGGACAATTTTTAAAATAGCCAAAATTTGTTTTTTTCGAAATATCTAGTAAGCCATGAACTTTTTCAAAAATCTGAAAGGGGCATATTTATGACCACACAAAACTGCAATTCTTTCCCTATTTAACCGACTCTCTCCCTCCAGTAGTTTACGAGATGCCCATAGAGAACATCGTAGGAAACTCACCCTGTATATATATTTCTATAAATATTTCAGCATAGTCTTGACACTACCCAAATCGTTTCCTCATATTTATTTATACTGTGTATTTTTACTTAATAAATAAATATTTTTTGTAATGGTTGTTTTAATCTAAATAGAGAACCTGGACTTAAGCAAACCTCCAAAGCCAGGTTGCGACAATATTTATATTAAAAAATAGGTACTTCATTATAGGTATCTTCACTTGACGATAATTATTTGATTTGTTATTTTGCCGACTTAACTCGCAGATCATCATGGTCTAAATAGAAATTATAGACTTAATTATATTGATATAGGTTTTTGCGAAAATGACTGACTCGAAAGAACATTATTTAAGTCAAAGACTTAAAATTTAAATAATTTAATCTTTATGTTAAAATTGACTTAAGATTTAAATCATCTTGAGTTTAGAAATAATTTAAGACTCTTAAGTCTTTTTGAAACTGACATGTAGCTCTGTGCTTATATCCTTCCATATAGGATGATTACCCTAATATACTAACTTAATGTACTATACGAATAGACACAAGGTGTGTTTAAAAATAAAAAAAAAACTTTTATCTTTTATTTATATTGTTACAAATTGTTGGTAAGTTTTGCAATGAAATTTTAATTAAAAAATAATTTAATTTTATTTAATGTCAAATGTTTTACAATTTTGTTGAAGTTAATGTAGCGCCGAAATTCTATAATAAAAATATAGTTAATAACGTTGAGAGATTGAGAGATGGAGCTGCAATATTATGGAAGTTTATCGACATACTAATTAATTAATTACATTAGGTATCCACTGTCACGGACAGGTAGCGAGTGCGACATGCGACCTTTCTCTTATGGAGTGTAGAGCTTTCTCTATAAAATGGCAAATGAAAGAAACGATCAACCTTAACAGAAACAAAGATCTCTATTGCAATCAAATTGTAATGGCAGATTTCAAAAAGAAAAATATATTTAATGAAAACGTTAAAAGATGACGCTATGTTTGCGCTGATTATTAAGGAGTTTTAAAAATAGTTCTAGAATAATCACGTACTAGGATCTGTGGATAAAAACAGGCAGCATGGGAACAAGTAGTTTTAAATGTTATTAATAAATGGTGAAGGTGTAAGAAATCGGATAAAATCAGTCCAAATTCATATTTAGTCGTTAGAGTGTTCTGATATAAATTAGTAGTTTATTGTAGTTATAGTCGTATAATAAATAAGTAAGTGTATTGATCGTGTGTTAAAATTTAGGACCTACTAAATCCGTATCAATAAAACAATTTATTATTTATTTATCGTATGGCCATATCGTACCTCTATAACTAACATCTAAACATTGAATGGATTATAGATTGTAGAATGAGTGGAAGGGGGTTAATCACCGCGATCTTAAAGATATATTGTGTCCACTTTTTTGAGTTATAAGTCATCATACAGTCTAACTGTCTAATATATGGTGAATACAGTCTAATATATGGTGATCTTTCTGTTGTAGGGGGTCAGGGTATTTTCCATCCTTCTCTGACAACAGATGTTTATCCTCCAAGGAGTGGATATCTACCTCCTGCGAGGCTATATACTCTTCCACGGTTGATTTAGTCCTCCATGCCGGACCTGACGTCTGAAGTAAATCCTTCCGTATTTCGCTGAGATCCCAGCGGGTAATCTAGCTCGCCTAACCCAGGCCGTATGGAGAAAACGGTAGCTTGTGTAGACTCTTGGGTCTAGAGGTAGGGTCCCGATCCTTTATTGTATTTGACTAAGAGTGGGTCCCATGGGAATCTTCACTGCGGCCGCGAGGACCTATTGTGGCTCAGATTCTCGAAGCTCATTAATATAAAAAGAGCGTTACAGTTCACTCTCAAGACCCAGCCTTTTAACAGAGGCCGTTATATGTCCAAGGGTGATATGTCTCCTAGGTCTGATAGATCTAGCATGGGTTTACCAAACATCTCAAACCTGGTCCTGGCCCCAGCGGGGCAGGTACACATAACGTGCTTCATTGTTTTATCATCCTCCATACAGAGTCGGCATTCGGCCATACAGAGTCGGCGTTCCACCAGACATATCCTCTGTAGGTGTGATCTCAGCCAGCAGTGGCCCGTGTACACTGCAGTGAGTGTACGCGCTCCATTCCTACCAGCCTTTAGGAGTTCTCCTGTTCCATGTTTGGATGGCCCTGCTAGGATTTTTTTGGCCTGTTCCATTCCGGGACTGTCATTCCAGTCCCGGAACGTCGCACACCTAACCCATTCACAGAGCCTGTCACTTGCGAGATTTTTTGGAACGCTAAGTGTCGGTTCTGGGCCGACGAATAGCGAGCCTGCACCAATTTTGGCGAGGGAATCAGCACGTTCATTTCCCTCTAAGCCATCATGTCCCGGTATCCATATTAGCGACACTTTGTTCCATATCTCCTAATGTATTGAGTAGTTTCTTACAATAAAGAGTCCCGATCCTTACTATAGTCTGTCCAACGAGAAGATCCTTGACAGTGATAGATGTGTCTGTCATTTTAATTTCAAAGTAGTTTATTTTATTTTACAAAGAAATAAGTTGGTACAACTGGAACGCATAGCAGGAAATATTTAAAATTTGATTGACAAGATGACAAGTGATTACTTCAAAATATTGTGAAAAAAAACTGTATAAAACTGAAAAAATGTAATCAGGAGTTATTTTATTTAATAAAAACGGTATGTGTTAATACAAAACAAACAAGAACAAGGCACTACATACCAAAAAAATATAAAAAATAACTATTATTTACTTTCAAGCTTTATGAAACTACCCGCATTTATGATTATATTTATCAATATAACTTATGTACAAATACAAATTTGTAATATTCCACAGGTATAAATAAAACAACATAGGTAAATACAACAACTATTTTATTAATAATAACACCTACCAAATTTTATACCTTAAAGGTGGATTAATTACCTTTAATCTTAATTTTTTTAAACCAGTACCTTTTGACATTATTTTTCTGCACCAGTACTAAAATCCATTATTTACCTATCGTGTGATGTCGATATTTTACAGCTACTCCAGTTTTTAGTATGTGTTTAGTTTGATCCTTATATACGAAATGCACTTATCTACGACGAAATGGTATACAAACTTTATCGATGGCAACTTCATTGGTGTATAAGACTTTCTGCCTGGGCAGCGTGTATTAACCATAAACTGTGCTCTGGGCCTACAGTTAATTTTCACTCGATTTTTCCTCCACTTGACTTCAAAAGACACAAAACACACGTAATAATACGAATCAAAATGCATCATCTTTCAAAATGCAGGGTATTTAACAAAAGTTGACACAAAATTATAACCAATAATTTGGCAAGACTTTGACAAGCGTCAAAAATGACAAAAATCTAAAGGCGAGTTCATACGCATCGGCGTCCGTTTGTCGTTCATCGTTCCGTCAAACCAATAAAATTGAAATACGATCTGTCATTTTTTAAATAAACCAATAAAACTGGTTAAAAACAACAAGACACGACGCATGACGGATTTATATTTAAACCCATCCATAGATAACTTAAAAATGATTAGAAACTTTTTTTAGTAAAATAAATAGATTGGTATGGGACGTCATCTGCTTTTCTTCTGTCATCGTCTGTCGAAATCTTACCTGAGAAAAAAAAACAGAGTATAGAGGAAGTGATAGCTTTTGTGCCATTTGTGGAGGATGGTCTCGCGCAAGTGTCAGCTGTTTGTCCTTTAGTACCATTTGGGTTGGTCCTTTGAAACTTGTACTGTTAATGTTCTCAGTGTTGCTAGGGGGTTTCCCACCAGTTTCACAACAACGGTTAGTCGGTCCACTTCTACAGAGCCCTGCATATAGAAGTTGGGGTTCAATACAATATGTACGGGGTTGAGACCAGTTGAGGCTAGTCTTCTATTTAGCCGCGCATCCTTTTGACCAGGTTCCACCATCACAGAATTTAGATTTTTGGATGAGATTGTCTCCTCTCGGTCCGGGCGGTTAAGCCAAGACCCTTCGACACACTCTAACCATGTGACAGTATTACCTAACCAGACAGTATTTTCTACTGGTAACTGGTATGAATTGGTGCCTGCAATTCCCTTGCCACAACACTACACCCATGGAGAAAACAGCTGGATGCTCCTTAGACCCAGCGAAAGTGCCAGAGGGGAATCCCCAAAAATTGAAGAAAATATGTAAAGTTCTTTCCGACCTATTGCGAGAGATTTGATTTTTTTTAAATTTTTAAAACAATGTAGATCAGACAGGGAATACTTTAGGCCAAATATTTACATAAACCTTTATTCTTAAAAGTACCTACATGAGCCAATTTTTTCATATTTTTAATATTTTAATATTTTTAAACTTAAAAAACACCTTGTATAACAATGTAATAAACGCTTTTTTTTCTCAGTGTAAGTCGTGAGAAAAAACAATATAAACGACATTGCCATGCTTTTTTATAATTTCAATTTGTTTATCTTTGATGTGATCTATGTTAGATTTTGTACCCTTCCGTATTATTACACAAATCAATTGATACGACGAGGTATATATAAAGGGTGATACAGGCTTTCAATCGCATCGCAATCATGAAGGTCGCAGTAATAGCATTGGCTTGTTTAGTAGCAGCCTGTTCGGGTAAGTTATCTCTTTCTAGCATTTTCAATTTATAATTTATCCATTTATATACAGGGTGGTCCGAACTGTATTCCGGAAACTTTGGCAGCATATTCTGCAGATAAAAATAAGTAAAAAAGTTCGTATAAATGTGTTCTAAAATGCTTAGTTTCGGAGATACAGGATGTAGAAGTTTCATTTTTATTTTGAGAGAGATTTTTTCAAACCAATTTTCATTTAAATATTGATGTTACTTCAGAAATTATTTGGAAAAAATCGAAATAAAAATGAAACTTCTACACCCTGTATCCCCGAAACTAAGCATTTTAGGACCTACATTTATACGAACTTTTTTACTTATTTTTATCTGCAGAATACGCTGCCGAAGTTTCCGAAATACAATGGGAACCACCCTGTGTAATTAAAAACTTAAATAAAAAATGAAAGTTATACACCTCGTATCTCCAAAACGAAGCTATTTTAGGACAATTACTTATTTTCATCTACGGAAATATGTTACGGAAGTTTCCCGTTAATAATTCGGACCGCTCTGTATCAGTAATACTTTTTTAATTTTTCTTTCTTTGCAAAAGTCCGTTAAAACACTATTTGCAATAAATTAAAACTATAAGTGAAAACCTTAGTAACACAACGAACAGTAAGTAACAGGCGAAGTACAAAAAAAAGAAAAGTGTGATCATTTCTTAATTTGTGTTGTGTTAGTATTTTAAAAATGACATGCCGTCAACTGGACTGAGCCAACAAAGGATTAAACATAGATGGAGAATATCTTAACCACCTAAGATTTGCTGGTGATATAGTGCTAATTGCCAAAAAATTGTCCTGAAGAACTGCACGCACAAATTAATGAACTAAATACAGCCAGCATCAAAGTGGGCCTCAAAATGAATTTAGGAAAAACTAAAGTAATGTACAACGAACTAGTGGAAAGAAAAGACATTCTAATAAATAACGCAACACTGGAAATGGTAGAATATATATAGGACAACTAATATACAGCTCGGGATCTCTACTACCCGAAATCAACAGAAAAATTATGTTAGCATGGAGTACTTATGGAAGAAACTCAATTGTATTCAAATCTAGAATGCTAATCTATCAAAGAAGAAAATATTCAAACGATTTGTACTACCAGTTGTGACCTGGACACTTAAAACGGACATCATAAGGAAACTGCAGGTCGCACAAAGTTCAATAGAACGAAATATGTTAGGAATTACCAAGAGAGACCATAAAAGAATAGAGCGGATACGACAAAAGATCAAGGTGAGAAAAAAAATGTCATCTAATGAAAAGATGCCATCCACAATTAAATCCCCCAAATGGCAATGGGCATTAACTACACCTGGCAAGAGGAACGGACAACAGATGGAGCACAAAAATTACAGCATGGTACCCACGAGGAATTAAGAGACCTAGAAGAAGACCGAACCATAAGATGGGACCATAATATTAGGAAATTAACAGGGATAACTTGTGCCCGCATAGACAACAATGGAACCAACTACAAAGAGAGTATGTGAAGGAGGCTAGACCATAATTAAAAACGGTTGAATAAGCTGAAAATGATGTTGGTGATATCTTAAAAATATGCTAACCGACCTTACGGATAAAATATCAATTGAGGGGCTTAGAAAAAAAGAGATACAAGTGACTTTTTGTTCTAAATGAACGTTGTAGTACAGATTTAGACACTTTAGATAGGTACCAATTTATTTGGTACAAAAGGAAATTAAGTAAATTTTATAGTCTACTCTACTTAATGCACTCTACTTAATTATATTTTATACCAAATAAATTGGTACCTAAAGTATCTAAACCTGCATTTAGAAGAAAGTCACTTGTACCCATTTTATTCTAAGCGCCTCAATTAAGCTAAGTGCTGAACCTAAAATTGTTGTTACAGTGGAGTTATTGTTGAGTTAAATTATATTTCTAAATATTTAAATGTCCTTAAAGAAATGTTTTTCTTCAATAACTTTGTTTAGTTATTTTGGTAGTTAAGTCTATTTTTTACTTACGATTTTCAGTTTTGAGTCAATAAGTAACTTTTTATATCATATTGTTACGGAATCCCTGGGTCCTCAATTCAAACACACACGATAAACCACTTAACAAATTTATTTTCCAACTATATGCACTTCTACTAACACACACCAATTTAATATAACACACCTAGAACTTTTTTGAAAAACCTTCGCCAAGTTGTCACAATTCGCTATTTACAGAACTTTATTCAAAACTAACAAGGATGTATTCCGTTGCAAAACCGGGCGAACCAGACCGGTAAACTATGGTAAAGAGCGGTTCCTGAAAAACATCAGTTTGATACGGAACGGTTTGGCAAAATACTGGAAACGTCAAATGTTGACGTTTTCTAAATTTCAATAACTCTATTATAAAATTTATGTTTTATGCATTTTTAATTAACCTGTTCTCTGCTTTTACGTGTGCTTCTTCTTTTCAATGGAGTTTAATATTAAAAAGTACTTTATTAATAAACTGTTAAACTCGTTAGACAGCTCAAGTGAAGATTTGCAGGTTCAATATTAAAATAGATCAATAATAAATAAACAAATCTAATCAATATTTATATTTTTATAGCTTACAACACATTCACGATTACTTGTTGTCTTGTTTTTCATGTTTTCTTGAAATGTTCCTGACTTTAAGAAACAATGGCTGCATGATAAGTTTAAATGGTCATTCTATTTAGTTAATGAAATTTATTTACCTTTACTGCCTACCTCCATTGCTTTTGGATGTAAATACAAAATATTATAACAAATTTTAGAAATTAAATGATAATTTCACTCGAACTTCCAATATTTGCTTGATTTCTCTCACATAAATGACATTGATTGACAAACAAAACCAGAAAAATAGCAGCACACAGTGGCACCCATTTTTTGTCAATCCGTCTCTGTGCTGGGACGCAACGCTCGAACCTCGCAGGCCGACGCGACGGACGGAACTCAACTGAAACGCTCTGCAATCTGCCGATATTCGACAGATTGGTAAAAACTGGCAGAAAATATTTGGGAGAGTGCAACTACTCTTTTCCTTCCACTATGGTAGTGTTATCATTTATTGCACATTTTAGTACCTTTCTAGGTTTTTTTTATGTACGGTCTCTACTATATTGCATTTGTTCTCTTCGTTTTTACTACGTACAAATATTTTCGATCTGTAATCCTAACCCAATAACACAAAATAATGAGAACGTAATTTTACTACATTTCTTTGTTCTTAGCAGCTGAAACTGAATACAAACAACCAGAGTACTACCCAATTGAACCAAGAGTGTTCCAGAACTCGACAGGTTTGAAGGTAGTAGATGGTAGCAATGCTGTAAGAAACCAATTTCCTTATCAAATTTCTCTTAGAAGATTGGCCTTGATCAGCTATTTCCACATTTGCGGTGGTTCAATTGTTAGCCCAAGGTAAAAAAAATATGTGAAGTTTTCTATTTTCTAAATATATTTACTAAAGACAAGATTTAAAATTTATTGAACCGGATGGGTCAAATTGGACGCTTTTAAAGGGAAACACCCTTTTCTATAGAAGATAGACGAAAACTAATATCGGTGTCTGGAGCTCAATTTTCATCAAAAACATGATGGTGAGAACCTCACATCGATATCTGTAGCCGTTTCGGAGTTACAGATATGTAAAGTTTTCTATTTTTTAAAAATACTTACTAAATTCGAGATTTAAATATAGTAAAAACATAGTTTTTCAAAAATGTGGATTTTTAACAAATCGCTGTAACTTTTTTGCTATGGAAAATTTTGTATTTTTATGAAAACATTTTTAAATCACATTTTTACGTAGAATTTAATGGTTTAAGTATATTTTTTTTAAAATAATAATTTAAGAGTTTTCAAGAGAAAAATTTATTTTTTAATTGCGACACCTCTTTATATTTTTACTTAACTGAAAAGAACTTAAAATTACCTTTCCAAAAATATAGCACACTTGATATTTTGTTATAGTCCCCTTCAAAATATAGAATTTTTAAAAATTAGTCACTTTTAACTAGTAGGCTTTGGATTTGCGAGTGCCTGGATTTTTATCTTTGCGGACAAATAAAGAATCTTACTTTTAAATTGCCTATATAATCTAGACAAGAATTAGTAAGTACGTACTTAGCGGTTATGCGAGGATGACTTTCACCCCTACTGAGTTAATGAATTCCGCGAAAAATGTTCAAAAACGGTCCCGTCTGTCCATAACAGAAGACGGTCGACATGTCGAACACCTCTAGCAAAATCTCATGTCTTGGTTTGCTATTTATTTTTATTATTATTAGATATAGTTTAAATGTGTTTTGATGTTGTTAAATATAATTTAAATTGTTACAAAATTCTGCATCTCTCATTGCAAACATTATTTTGGTTTTAATTGAGGCTCACAGCTAGAATTTTTTGCATTACAGCCCACGGCGTTCAAAGCCTACTTATTCAAAGCGGGCGAATTTTTAAAAACTCTATATCTCGAAGAGGAATCGAGCAAAATATCAAGAATGCTATATTTTTGGAAATGTAATTTTAAATTATTTTCAATGAATTAAAACTATAGAGGGTGTAACATATTAAAAATCAAATTTTCTGTTGATAAATATTAAATTATTAAAAAAATTCTACGTAAAAATGTGATTTGAAAACATTTTCCATAGCAAAAAATTTACAGCGATTTCTTTAAAATCCACATTTTTGAAAAACACCTCGTAACTCCGAAACGGTAACAGATATCGATGTGCGGTTTTTACCATCATGTTTTTGATAAAAATAGAGCAGACACCGATATTTCGTCCTATAGGGTGTTTCTCCTATAGGGTGTTTCCCTTTAAAAGCATCCAATTTGACCCACCCTGTACATATACACCTTTGCAGTTGATACAGATACATACTCTGATGTATGTATAATTTTAATTTTATACCTTAATATCGATGACTCAATTTTATAGGGTGAATCAAAGGTAGAGTAAATCGTTTCGTTCGTAATCGGTTCATTATTACATTTGTTTTGAGAATTGTGAAAAAATATTAAAGAGAACTATTTAAGGGGAGGACTAAGATCAGGGTACTTCTAAAAAGGGATACATAAGCAACATCCTCGTTTTTATTTTATATTTAAATTCTGCGTATAATTAAAACTTTTTTATACAGACAAAAAATCCAAAAACACGTCAATTTTGTTTGTGAGGGGGTCAAGTTTTGCCCTAAAAATGATTGCAAAATCTTCAACACTCGAAGCGAGGGTGTCATCCCCCAACTTTTTTCAAATGGGAAGGGGGGTCAAGTGGCGCCGCAATGAAAAGGGCTTTCTATTCTCTATATTTCCCCGCTTCGTTTTTAAAAATCGGTCGAGTCGTTTTGAAAATATGAAGGATTGAAATTTGAAAAGTATTTTTTGCAAAAAAACGCATAAATTGAATTAAATAAAAAAACTTACCTAATTAATGAAGCAAATGCTGAAAATGTTGCCCGCCAACCTCCATACAGTAATACAAATTATTTTCAAACCGTTCTCGAACATTCTGAAGAACTTGCGGGGTCACTTCGCGACAAACATCAATAATTCGTCTTCGCAGGTCTTCTAATGAGGCGGGTGGAGTGCTATACACTTTACTTTTTATGTGTCCTCATAGAAAAAAGCCTAAAGGGGTCAAGTCGGGTGACCGGGGAGGCCACTCAACTGCACCCCTTCGTCCTATCCACCGACCGGGAAAGTTATTGTTTAAATAATTACGCACATTTTGAGAGTAATGTGGAGGCGCACCGTCTTGTTGAAATATTAGTTCCGCTTCAACGTATTCAGGATTGTTCTCTATGATGTCAGTTAGGGCTGGGTCGATGGTATTTTCCAATAAATCCAAGTACATATCACCTGTTAGATTTCCAGGAAGAAAAAAAGGACCTACAATAGAATTTCCAAAAATGCCAGCCCACACGTTCAATTTCTGAGGGTTTTGGGTGTGCACCTCGTGAAAAACCCTGGGGTTGTCCTGAGCCCAGTATCGACAGTTGTGCCGATTAACTACAACGTTCAAAAAAAAAGTACACTCATCCGAAAAACATACATTAAATAGGAAATTATTATCATTCGCCACTCGTTCACTCATAGTTTCACAAAATTGCAAACGACGAGAAAATCGTCTTCGTTGAGTTCTTGTACCAACTGAATTTTGTACGGGTGGAACTTGTGTTTTTTTAATATCCTTTGGACACTTGTACGATTCACGCCAGTCTCATTGGCTAATTTTCTTGTACTCTATCTAGCGTACTATCCATGGCAACTTCGCCCAATACGAATACCTCCATAGCTTCATTTACTACAGGATTTTCCCACTGCCTCTTTTTATTCATAACGGAACCAGTTTCGCGAAATTTTGCTACTAACTCGCGAACAATTTTGCCATAAAGGTGTTTGTCAGGATGACGTTTATTGAATATCTGCGCAGCCCGATTGCCACATTCATTATTTTTAAAATAAAGTTCGATTATTTCCACTCTTTCTGCAAGTACACCATAATTGTTAAAAAGTTTAACGATATTGAAAAGAACTTCAACCGCTTCAACGCACAAGTCACAGAACAGCTATCTAGCAACTACCGCACCTGATCGTTCAACCTTCTGGCAAGGGAAAAAATGCGTAAAAAAAGCTAGAAATAATAAGAAAAAACTGCAAATTGGTTGAAGGAATTTATCCTTATCGTTACTCTGATAAATGTTTAAATAAAATTTTCAAATTTCAATCCTTCATATTTTCTCAATGACTCGACCGATTTTCAAAAACGAAGCGGGAAAGTATAGAGAATAGAAAGCTCTTTTCATTGCGGTACCACTTGACCCCCCTTCCCATTTGAAAAAAATTGGGGGATGACACCCCCGCTTAGAGGGTTGAAGATTTTGCAATCATTTTTAGGGCAAAAGTTGTCCCCCTCACAAACAAAATTGACGTGTGTTAAAATTACCCTGGTCGTTATGCCTTGCGGAACGTTTTCGATGAGCCACCCTGTATAATATGTAGGTATAATAAAAAAAAATGGTGACAATTTCTATGCTCCACATTGGCATCAGGTTTTATATACCTAAGACTATAGCTTCTGTAATTCAATTTATTTAAGATAAAACAAAATATATGTAAAGTTATTTGAGTTAGTTGTTACCGGGTGATCAAAATATATTTATGAATTAAAAAAAAATTAAGGCGCCCGGTGGTGTAGAGGTACAGGCTCTCGTCTACCAATCTGAAGGTAGTGGGTTCGATTCCCACACCCGGCATTGCATCAGCCGACTATTTTTATTAAAAATAAAAATAGTTTGGGTACCTAGGTCGACTCAGCCTTAAATGAGTACTTGGGATTCACAATCCTGAGATAATAATAGGCGGTTGCTAGCCACATTACCTTCCTTGTATACCGAACGGCTCTAGTATGGCAAGCTGTACCTTGCTACTCCCAAGGCGTTGAACGCTATATACGGGAGCTACTACTACTAAAAAAATAAAAATTAAAAAGTCATTTTTTTAAATGACACACTTTACATACTATTTTTTCTGAGACTCTACAATACCATTGAACAAATGTATAATTTTAATTTTCGCCCCACTCAAACAAACCTTAAACAGGGTGTCCCAATATTCCGTGGACTTTGCCGTGGACATAGAACTACTATACAAATGTGCTTTGTTTGTCCGTTAGAGGGCATGAAACTTAAACACATTTTTTAAGATTTTTTAACAACCGATATTCTGATTTGAATGAAATTTGAGATTTTGCCTATGTTTTGCTAAGCGCTTTAACAATTGACTTTCACAAACATCAAGAAAAAGGTACAGGAAGGGTAAAAACTACCCCCATCTTTACATACATTTTAGTAGAAATATTTTCCAACTCCACGGATTTTTTCGTAAAATGAAAGCACTTTTGTATAGAGGTATATTGTGCTCAATAAACTTATTTTGATTCCAAAAATACGCAGTAGTTTTATGTCCACGGGACACCCTATATATCATTATACAGGATGAGTGTTAAATAAGTGCAAATATTTTTAGGGGTAGTATATTTCGACCACAGAAACACGCCTATAAGATTTTTTTTTTAAATTTGGAAATCTTAGATCTCTGGTTAGCTTAGAAAGCTAACTGTCAAATGAAGTTGTCATTTCAGAAATTTACCTATTTAGTGCTTTATTATCTTTGTTTATTATTATTGAAAACTCATTCCTACACATAGATAAAAGAAAATAATCTTCTATTAATTCCTACATCGGAAATCTTAAAGATATATTTAGAAATACAAATTAATATGAATTAAAGTAAAATTGAAATTTCGGCATGTTGTAAAATTTAATAAGTTAGCACTAATTAAATGATAATTATTATTTACAACAATATTTAAACGATAAAAACTTATCCCAATAAATATTTGGCACCGCCTTAAATTCATTTGTTTTTACTGTTGACGGTGGAAACCATGCAAGCTTTTTCTTTGTCCTAAGTTGTTAATTAAAAAAAATAGTATCATATAAAAAAATATAGGTCCTAATAGCCTAAATTTTATCAAAATATATCAGCAGATCCGATGAGACCCGAATTATTATATGTTTTGGAACTTAATGATTTAATTAATCATTCCCTTTAATGCATCCATTGTGCGCATTATCCTACGCGCCAAGAAAAAATATTGCATTAGGCCAATAACGTTTCCGTTAAAACTATTCTCTAAATATTCCCGAACAGCCAGTGTACTATGTGACGGACAGCCATCCATTTGGTACCAAACTTCCTGATTTTCCCTAGCGGCATCATGTAAAGCAGGTAAAATATGATTTTCGAGTAGTTCCAAATAATATTCTGCATTTAAATTTCGCGTAAGAAATAATGGCCCGATAATATTTTGTGTCCGAATATCCCTGCCCAAACATTTGCTTTCTGTGGATATTGCGTCCTTGTTTCAACAAACCTGGGTTGGTTTTCTTTGTTCCAATATCGATCATTTTGAACATTGGGTTCGTTATTTAAGGTAAACGTGCATTCGTCAGTGAAACATATGTTTTTTAAAAATTCCCTATCCGTGTTTGCTCTTTCCATCATATCAAAACAAAACGCCTGCCGCCGTATTTCGTCCCCATCTCGTAGCTCTTGGTGCTTTTCATGTTTGAAGGAATAGTATTTATGTCGTTTCAAAGTTCAAAACGCTGTAGTGTGATCTATTCCTATTTCATCCTCAAGTTTCCTTGTGCTGATCTTTCCATCGTTCTCTTCCACGAACAATAAAACTTCCAAGTCGGTATCATTTCTTGCATTTCTCTTTGTTCCTGCCTAGCTTCACATCTGCAGTTATTTATTAGGGTACCTTTGGTCTGAAATCTCTGGATATTCCTTGCGATTGTAAATTTTCCAGGTATGGGTCTATTCGGATACAGAGCAGCAAACATGTCCGATACCTTTTGATAACTATCTCCTTGATAATACCATTTAATCATCAATACTTTTTCTTCGGTAGTGTAATTCATGACTAATATTTTCGATGTAGGTATGAGTTTTTAATAATAATAATAAAGCCTAAATAGATAAATTTCTGAAATGACAACTTCATTTGACGGTTATCTTTTACCTTGACTGGTGCTCCTAAGTAAATACAGGGCCATAAGAAAGGAGAAATATTTAAAAAGAAATCGGCGATAACTCGCAAACGGGTTAATCAAAAATATCTAAAGTTATTCTTTTGAATGTGGGTTTTAGGGCTCTTCGGTAAACCTAAATAGAATTATTCTCTAAAATAATTAGGGAAGCCAATAATTGACCCAATTAAAATTTACATATGGGATTTCCTATGTCCCGCTCGACGATGCAACACCCGGTATAGGGTACGAAGTATAACAGGAATACTTTTAATTTTAAATATAGTCAAAAATCATAAATTTATATTGAAAACCTTGTTGCATCTAACTGAAATATCGTTACGTATATCTTTTAGTTATTCTCTATAAAATTTGATACACAAAAATAATTATATCAATCTTAACATTTCCTGAACTGATCAATTCAACATTTTTTCGCAATTATCAAACCAAACGTAATCATGGGCTATCGTTGACTCAGTTTATACTTAATGAGCATTATTTGATTTCAGATGGGTTTTGACAGCTGCCCATTGTACTTGGGGCAGGGCTGCTAGCCAGTTCCGTATTGTCGCTGGTATCTTGAACCAAGGTGACACAGGAATCGTCAACCAACAAACTGTCGCTGTTTCCCAAATTATTAACCATGAGGGATATCCAGGGTATGAAAAATTATTTTTATTAAGATAATAGTTATTTGCAGTACAAGTGTGTTTATGAACATGATTACAACAACGAGTGTGAACGATTAGAACGAGTGTTGTAATCATGTTTAAATGCACGTGTCATGTACAGGGTGGGTCAAATTCGACGCTTTTAAATGGAAACACCCTTTTCTATAAGAGATAGACGAAAACTAATATCGGTGTCTGGAGCTCAATTTTCATCAAAAACATGATGGTGAAAACCGCACATCAATATCTGTTACCGTTTCGGAGTTACGGGGTGTTTTTCAAAAATATGCATTTTTAACAAATCGCTGTAACTTTTTTGCTATGGAAAATTTTGTATTTCTATGAAAACATTTCCAAAGCACCTTTTTACGTAGAATTTAATGGTTTAAGTATAATTTTTTTTAAATTAATAGTTTAAGAATTATCAACAGAAAATTTGATTTTTTATATGGGACACCCTGTATATTTTTAATTTATTGAAAAGAATTTAAAATTACCTTTCCAAAAATATAAGACACTTGATATTTTGCTCGATTCCTTTAAATATAATTAATAATTCCCGCTTTAAATAAGTAGGCATTGAACGGCACCGGCTGTAATGCAAAAAAATTCTAGCTGTGAGCATCAATTAAAACGAAAATAATATTTGCTATGAGAGATGAAAAATTTTATAACAATTTAAAATATATTTAACCAACATCAACACATTTAAACTATATCTAATAACAATAAAAATAAATAGCAAACCAAGACATGAGATTTTGCTACAGGTGTTCGACATATCGACCCTCTTCTGTTATAGACAGACGGGGCAGTTTTTGAACATTTCTCGCGGAATTCATTAACTCAGTGGAGGTGAAAGTAGCAATACCAAAATACCCTCTCATAACTGCTAAGTCCCTCTCATAACTTCTAATTCTTGTCTAGATTATACGGAAGAATAAAGAACCTTTATTCTACCGCAAATATATCCATAGGATGAGATCCATCGGCACTAAGTCAGGCGGCCTCGACGGCCAACGGCTGGGATCTTGGTTAGCTGTTCAATTATTCTTGAAATTGGCTCGACGGCCAACGGCTGGGATCTTGGTTAGCTGTTCAATTATTCTTGAAATTGGCTGCAAAAATTTGCTGATAACTTCAACGTTCAGAGGCGGCGCGTCGTCTTGCTGGAAAAATATGTTTTCGAGTTCCATTAAGGGCATATCATCAATAAGGGGTCCAAAGCCTACTAGTTAAAAGTGGCGAACTTTTAAAAATTCTGTATTTCGAAGGGAATTATAACAAAATATCAAGTGTGCTATATTTTTGAAAAGGTAATTTTAAATTCTTTTCAGTTAATTAAAAATATAGAGGGTGTCCCAAATAAAAAATCAATTTTTCTGTTGATAACTCTTAAATTATTGATTTAAAAAAAATTATACTTAAACCATTAAATTCTACGTAAAAAGGTGCGTTGGAAATGTTTTGATAGAAATACAAAATTTTCGTTAGCAAAATAGTTACAGCGATTTGTTAAAAATGCACATTTTTGAAAAACACCCCGTAACTCCGAAACGGTAACAGATATTGATGTGCGGTTTTCACCATCATGTTTTTGATGAAAATTGAGCTCCAGACATCGATATTAGTTTTTGTCTATCTCCTATAGAAAAGGGTGTTTCCATTTAAAAGCGTCGAATTTGACCCACCCTGTACAACGTTTTATCTACAATCGAAAAATAAGAAAATGCTGTTTTAATTTTCGTTTATTAGTCGCCCGCCTTTAACACCTTTAACTAGGACATTTCTCATATTTTTTTAATTATAATTGTAACAGACAGACCTTAGACCTTCACTATTAGCATTGTCATCATCATCAGCAGCAGGAATTGTTTTGAAGAAGTGTAAAAAATGTATTATTAATATTTATAATAATTAGTAGTAGGAATTTCTATAAAAAAATAACATATTTAGATGTTCGTAGTTGTTTTTCATTATTATAAAAACACTTGTTGTGTTATAGATACATAACACCACTAGTTGTGTTATGAATCTCATAACGTAACTGAAATAAACATTATAATATAATTATAACATAACGTTATAATTAAACGGTTGTAGATAAAATAAATTATACACTCAGATGCAAAAAAAGCAACTGAAAAATCTCTGTTCAAATTTAAAGTGTTATATTTTGGTTATTTTTAGCCCTGTTTTCATTAATTTTTTAGCAAGCCAAGTTTTTAGCTGCCATAATTATGTCAACTTTAATTCCTAAATTCAGTTTTTTTTATAAACTTTAGTATTTTATACTGTTATACAGGGTTAATCGAGGGGTTGTTTTTTACCCTAACTTTAAAACATCCTGTGCAATAATTTCACATGTAAATAGAATTTTACGGTCAGAACCATGTCTCTTGAGTGTTTCGTTTTTTGGATCATGTCAATACATGTCTTAGTTAATTTTTAAGAGCGAAATGAACTTGCCACCCACAATTTGCAATTTTTTCATTTATTTTTTTAAAGTTATTTTTCAATATGACAAGGTGGTTTGGTGATTATTGTGAACTATGTACTACTCTATAAACTACTCATCATGTTCGACGTTCGGGAAATCCTTGGCAGAAGGGTTAGAGGTCGCAAAGTGTTGCCACCTTCATTAAATGAACTTCGCTTGGTCCTTAAAGAAGAATAGGAAAACATAAAGCAATATGGTATATCCAGCTTGAATGACAGTATGAACGGACATATAAAGGCAGTTATAGCAGCTAAGAGGCAATACAAAGTATTAGGGTAGTTTTTACAATTTTTTTTCTATTTGTCAGAGGCGCAACTAGACATATACTTTTAGGGGGGCTCAAGTCTTTTGGGAGGGCTTAGGTCACTATAAGATAAGATGAATGTGAGGTTAAAACCAATTTTATACGACACGCACTGGTCATCTGGGGGGGGGGGCTAAAAGTAGTTGCGCCTCTGCTATTTGTATACTTATGTTTCCCTCATCAAAATAGGGCTAAAAATAACAAAGATATAACACTTTAAATTTGACCAAACATTTCACAGTTCCGATTTTTTTTGCATCTGAGTGTAGATAAAAGTGATATTTATAAAATTAATTTATTAAAATGGGTTTTTATTTCAGTGGTAACCAAGTAAGTGCTGATGACATCGCTCTCGTTCTATTAGCAAATAACCTCGTCTACGGCATCAACGTGCAACCCGTCCCTCTTGCACAACCTGGATCTTCGGCTCGTGGTACTGCCGTTCTTTCTGGATGGGGTTCTCTGGGACCACCAACTAATGCTGCCCCTGAAACACTTCAGTTTGTTAATCTTCCAATTTTGCCTCAAGATCGTAAGTAAAAACTTAAATATATATAACTAGCGTGTACCCGCGACTTCGTTTACGTCGAATTAATCATTTGTAATGGTGATGATAAAGCACAGCAAGAATTTCCATTAACATACAAACTGGATAAAATTTTCTCACATTTATGTCAGCATGAGACAGAACAATATGGCGATATTATTATATAACTTGGTAATATTTGAGGGGTAGGTTCATCTTGTTGGAATTTGACTTTCGAAAAATCCTTTTGCCAAAAATAAACATTTTACGTCAAGTGGTTTAAGCAGAATCGTGGTTAATCAATTACCCAACTTGTTGGAACACCCTGTATTGTTTTTAAAAAGATTTCAAAATATGTAAAAAAACAAAATAAATTATGTGTGTCCAAGCGTTTTCCCGAAAGACTAACCGTTCTTTAAATAACAAATATTGTAATATTTGAGGGGCGTTTTCACCCTCTTGGAATTTGAGATTCGACAAACCTCTCCTTATCGAACCTCTACACCCCACAGTCAATCCATTTGCCAAAAATCAGCTTCAAACGTCAAGCAGTTTAAGTAGAATCGCGATTACTAACGGTTTTTAAATAAAAAACATTCTAATATTTGAGTTGTTGATAGTATAGTTGATAGTATTTTATAATCTGTTTTTATAAATAAAGCTTCATTGGAGTTCAAAATTCCATCTGTCACGCAACATAAAATATATGCGAATATCTAGCTAAGCAGATGTCCATGCAAATTATCGTGAATCGACTAGCTGGTTTCGAATTAGTCTATGCTGAACGTTTAAATTAAAATATACGACGGCTTCCCCATAAGAGCAATGAGAGGATTTACGTCCCAGTATTGAAGGACAAAAAATCGAGTCTGAATGGTTCAGGACATAAGTTCATCCTTGTTTAGTCAAACCTCCTACAACACAAGGATAGACATGTAGGAAATGCATTGAAATTCTATAGCCATCCTTCAATATCGGAAATTAAGGGGTACCCTCCATATATTTTATTTAAACGTATTTGGTGCTGATGCTCTGACTACTGGCATGTGTACGATTATAAGCGCGGTAAGTTATATCGAATCCTCCAAAGAGCGAAACACCCTGTATTTCTCTATCATAATCGAACTGAGTTTTGTTTAGTCTTTTTGTTTTATTAAGCACTTTTTATATTTAAATTCGATATTTAATGAGAAAATTTGTGTTTGTTTTGAAAATACGGTGTGTCCCAGAAATAAGTGCAAGTATTTTAACCGGTAGTATAGTTCAACCCCAGAAACACGCCTATGAGGTTTTTTCGCGAAAAAAAAATTTGAAAATACGAACTTTTTTGAAAAATTTTTTGGAAATTTTTTTAGTTTTTAGTTAAAAAACATAATTTCTTAATAATATCTCAACATAGGTATTCGATTAAATTTGTAAAGATCCAGTGGTTCTCAAAATTTTAACAAAAAATATTTTATTTGGAAATTTTCAGAGTAAAATAACTTTGTTATTTTTTACTTATTTGAAAAACGGTAAAGAGAAAATATGTTTCTTTTATCGATATCTACGCCCCTTAAAATACTTGCACTTATTTCTGGGACACCCTGTATAAGACAAGATTTTTGGGATTTATTCTTGGTTTTAGGTCAGCAATTTAAAACACTATTTATTTTAACGTGGTTGTTCGTTATTTAATATGTTATGTGTCTTCTTAATTAAATTTTAAAATTATTTTATATTGTTGTGTGTATATGTATTTGACGACAATTATAATTTCTGAAGAAGACCTAAGAATGGTCGAAACGTACGTAAAAAATAAAAACAACTTTTAATTATTGTGTTTTAAATTGCTGACCTAAAACCAAGAATAAATATACAAAAGGTCAAAGAAAAAATTAGATTTATAAATTTAGAAGATTTTTTATATTTCAAAAAATACTCGGTATAGAATTTATTTTTTGATTTTTCATTTTAAATCAAATAAATTTTCAATAAATTTATTTTTATTTTTTATATCGTCCATAATTTCGCTTCATATGATACGCCTATTATAACAATTGATATAAAATATGATAACACACACATTTACAGGGTGTTCCATAGGAGCATGCTGTTTGTATAAACATTTTCTGTTCACCAAGGACAAAGATGAATGTTTGTATAAAGCCCCAAAGATGAATGTTTGTATAAATATTCATCTTTGTCCAACGGAGGCTGTAAACACATTTTTCATAGCCCACTTCGTTTCTGAGCTATAGGGCACTTTTAAAAATTTCGCAATTCGACAAAAATTGTGAAAGGTATCGAAAAGGTAAAAGATGTGTCTAGTAGAACTTTTTCCGTAAAATACAGTGGCGTAGAGTGTCTTTCTTTAAAAAAATAGTTTCGGAGATAATAACGATTTTTTTCAAAGAAGACACCCTGTATTCTCTAAAATATAACACTTTTTCAACATAACTAGAATCAAAACATTTTAAGAACAGAAAAACTTTAGTATAGAATAACACTCGTACTTATTTTCACGATTTAGTCCAAAATTTTAAAACTTTTCAATAAAAGATCATTTTTAGGGTTCCGTACCCAAAGGGTAAAAACGGGAACCCTATTACTAAGACTTCGCTGTCCGTCCGTCCGTCCGTCCGTCCATCTGTCACAAAGGTCTATCTTATGAACCCTTATAGTTAGACAGTTGACATTTTTACAGATAATGTATCTATGTTGCCGCTATAAGAACAAATACTAAAAACAGAATTAAATAAATGTTTATAAATAAAAAAGTACTTTCACTAAACATTATCTTTTAAGTAAGAATTTTACATAGAATTTTTCAAGTCCTCGGTGGCGGCGTGGTTAAAGCGTTAGGACTTTACGCTGCTATGACGTTGGAGCCGTAGAAGGCAGGTTCGAATCCTAGTCAAGGCGACTTTTTTAAATCGTTTTTTTTAATTTTTACATATTTTTACATATTTTTACATATTTATTTTTACTTTTTATATATTTATTATTGATTAATACAATTTTTAGTAATGTGTTTCTTCATTTTTTTTAAAATTACTTATACTCCCATTCAAAATTTCAGCTAAATCGGAGAAAAAGTTTATAATAATATAGTGTCTAATGTTGTATTGATAATGAATGGTACGAAACCCTTCGTGCGCGAGTCCGACTCGCACTTGACGAATTTTTATTTATTAGTAGGCAGTGATAGATAATAAATGAAATCAAAACGATATTTACTAAAATACTCATACACATATTGAAATTTTAATCGGAACTAAAATATTTTGCTTTTAAACTGTTACAGTTATATTTCAAAAACCTCTCGGTATAGTATACGCCATTATGGTATTTTTTAGTAGTGGGAACTATCGAATGACATTCGATAGTTGCAATTCATTCGAATAATTCGATAGCTAGTAAGAAAATATTCGTTGAAAACTATTCGAATAAAAATTATCGAATAGATGCGTCATCTGCCTTGAAATATTGTATTTTAGTAATTCGGCAGCAAAAACCATTCATTTATAAAATTCATTCATTTATGAAATTCATTTATTCGTCAGGATCCATTATAATAAAATATTAACTGGAAGCCGGCTTGATTTTTTGCGGAGTCATATAAAGATAAGTCAAAATTATTTATATTAGATCCTATTTAAAAATAATATAGTCTTTAAATTTTTTGTGGCAACGTTGGTTTATTAAATAATAATAATTACAGAACTAATTTGTTATATTAACAACAAACTTTAAAATCATGAAATATAAACATTTATTAATTTTCTAAGCATGCAGTGTAATGGAAGGAAAAATGTCTTAAGAATCCGATGGTTCCATCATGTCTCAAACGTATCGGTCCTTGAACAAGCTAACTGCGAGAGTATTGAAGTCATGGTTACAAAATCCCGCTTAAGATGGGCTGGTCACGTATGCAGAATGCAACAAAACCGCATACCAAAATCTCTGCTTTACGGTGAGCTTGTAGACGGTAAGAGGAGGCCAGGTGGACAACTGAAAAGGTACAAGGACATTTTCCACGAAAACTTAACGGGGCTTAACATGCAGAATGAGTGGCAAAAAGCAGCTCATAATAGAACTCAATGGAGAAGAGTTGTAAACTCAGTTAACAGCGACACCCAAAAAGTAAAGAGGCAACAAAGCAATGAGATTTTTGAATGTCCGGAGTGCGGTAGGCAGATAACATCACGTATCGGGGTTTTCAGTCACAGAAAAGCTCATGAAAGAAAACGCCTTGCGTGACCATCTTCTTTATGTGTGTCGAATACTCGTCAGCGAGTAACGGCTGTATGTATGTATAAAAAATAAGGACACAATATAGACCTACTATCCCTAACTAACTAAAGCCAAACAATAATATTCTTTGCTAATATCAACTAATACCAATATATGACAACAGCGCCCTTCATAATGTTTTTAAATAAAAAATTAGAAATCAAAATTATTTATATTAGGTACTTTATATTACTATTTAAAAATAATATTTACTTTTACTGGCATTTACTTTAAAAAATAAATGAAATATTTCTTCGCAAAAAACTACATGTAAGAGGATTAGCATAAACAAAATACAAACATCGTTAACTTTTTTTTTTAAATTGGCACGTGTAAAACTTTCAATTTAATTTTCTCATCCCATAGTTTGAGTTCGATAACCATTTACTTAACCACATTATTTATGATTATTAAGTTCAACTAATTCATATTATTAAAACATCTAAAATACAAATATGTATTTTTAATATTAATTCTAAGTTCATATCATCTCTCTTAAAAATTGCTACTATTCAAAATTTCCCATTAAAAAATAGACCATATACCATATAAAAAAAAATAATTGAAAGATCGGGCTACGGAAAGTCACACAAATTTTCGGAAAAAACGCAAAAATAGCACAGTATTTATAAGGTGAAGTTATAAAAATTTGGAAGAACTAATAATGCACTGACGCACACAAAAATCAAACGAATATTAAATTTCATTTATCAAAAGCATTCGATAGTCGTGGCTCAACGATAACCATTTAGTTGCACGGCGAGGTTGTCACATATGCTTTAGTATACAAATGAATGAATGATTTTATTCGAATAAAACCATTCGATAGTTGAAATCATTCATTCAGTAACCATTCGATAGTCTAATTCATTCGATAGTTCCCATCGCTAGTATTTTTGGAATGAAAGTTTAATGGCAAACCTACTGTGTGAGGTAAAAAATAAATAGTATTCCATTTAAAATATAAAACTTTAGTTGGAAAATATGTCTGAATCACCCACACAAAAATATGTTCAAAATGAATTCATTATTATATTGTTCCACATATTATATAAAAGAATTAAATTCACAAACCAAAAACCTAATATAGAGCTTTTTCGGAAGCCTGGGCGACCCTGTATCTGAGCCCAATCTAGAAAATATGTAAATTTAAATTCTGCGACCTTGCATACATAGTGTAAACATTAACCAATAATATTTAAATAAATTTCCGTCTTTGTTTCAGAGTGCGCTAACCTAATTGCCTCCATCTCTGGCCCTAATAATCCCTTCAGGGCTTTGCTCAACGTATGTACAGTACCCGCCACCAACAGAGAAGGCGCTTGTAGTGGTGACAGTGGTGGCCCATTGGTCAACAACGGTATTCTAGTCGGTGTTGTGTCTTGGGGTTACAGTCCATGCGGTGGTGTTGGCTATCCATCCGTTTTCGCCAAAGTATCCGCCTACAACGCCTGGATCAGACTAAACTCAAACGGCGAAGTCGGCCTTTAATAATTCGCAGAATTTAATGTAACATTAAGTAATTTATTTGTTATTAATTTTAAATCAAATAAATGTTTTCATTAAATTAATTTTTTTCTTTTTTATGTCGTTCATAATTTCGCTGTATACGAGACACCTTTTATATCAATTTTTTATACAATATGGTAGCATAAGGGTGTCTGTGCTATGTTTTTATGAAACTTTATATATGACATAAATTATGGTTGATTAACTGATTCATTGTGCATTATTTTTTAGCCGGCCAGGACAAAATACGAAAAACATATTATATGATCAAATCTATTTTTCCAAGGCTCCTTTATTAAAAAATAGTGTTTTAAACACAACCATGGCATTCTAGATTTCAATTTAAAGTACTTTTTTTAAGCGAAAATGTCAAAATTTGACATATGATGTCATTATATTCACAGTGCCATTTTCTATCCAATAGAGTAGAAATATACCGAGAGTAGTATTTAAAAATCAAAAGGTATAATCATTTCCGGTGAAACAAGAAGTGACCAAAAACAATAATTAAATACGTCAATCAACCCTAATTTATGTCATATACTAACATGCCAAATCTCGTTTTTTATGTGAAAAAATAAAAAAGTTATAGGGGTTGAGCCACTTTCGGGATGCACCCGGTATTATATTTTTTTTATTTACATTGTTATGGGTTTACTAAAAATATAATATACTACTTATTTTCATAAAAAAGGTAAAAAATTAGATATTTAACATTTTAACATAAATCAACCTAGCTTAAAATAGTATTATTATCGTACGTCATACGAGGAGAGTCGAAAAATGCAAAATTTTCAAATTCGCCCTGTATTTCAGGAACAAAGAGGGCTATGAGAAATTTGTGTGTAGTATCTTTAGTTTCATAAAAAAAAGTAGCACAGTAATGTAAAAACTGCATCTTTGTATCGCAACGCATAAACGAGAAATCCTGTAAAACACACGAAAATAAAACATCCTGTACCGGGTGGCCAACTAAGAATGGACGCCGGCTGTATCTCAGAAACTACTTTGGAAAACAATTCTAATAAGTAAATCGACCAAGAGAAATCGCAGGAAATTATTTTCAAGTTTGAAAAATGTCCGCTAGGGGGCGTTTCTCTGGTAGCCAATCAGAAAACAGGATTTTCTGAAAAATATGCAGGTGAACAGGTATTTTAAATATTACTATTATAATCATCGAGAAATTTGCAGTTTTTTTTTATATAGAGTATTTTGCTCTATCTCATAAAATAAAGTGGTGAGGGAAGGTTAAACTTGCTTTTATTAAAATAAGGATAACTTTGATTTGGGTTACACGATTTAAACTAACTAGGGCTCGTTTAAAAGAGTTTTTCTTCCTTAATGATCTCCAGTATAAATTTTGTTTCCACAATTTTTTTTGTGGTTAGCTACCACAAAAAAAAAGTTGCGGTTTGCGCTGATATTTTAGAAATTTTGTGCTCTATTTAACTGTGCAAAGAGAAATATAGCCTACTATTTAATTTTTTTGCGCAAAGGCGCAATATCTTTTTTGATGTCAAACAGCGCCCTCTAGCTACCACGAAAAAAATTGTGGAAACAAAATTTATACTGGAGATCATTAAGGAAGAAAAGCTCTTTTAACCGAGCCCTAGTTTGTTTAAATCGCTTAACCTAAACCAGAGTTATCCTTATTTTAATAAAAGCAAGTTTTACCTTCCCCCACCACTTTATTTTTTGAGATGGAGCAAAATACTCTATATCAAAAAAATTACAAATTTCTCGATGATTACATTAATAATATTGAAAATACCTGTTCACCTGCATATTTTTGAGAAAAACCCTCTCTTCTGATTGGCTATTAGAGAAACGCCCCCTAACGGGCATTTTTCGAACTTGAAAATAATTTCCAGCGATTTCTCTTGGTCGATTTACTTATTAGAATTTTTTTCCCAAAGTTATACAATAAATAGTTTCTGAGATACAGCCGGCGTTCATTCTTAGTTGGTCACCCGGTACAATGCTTTTAGAGATATTTAATGCGATACCTGCACATGGACGTCTTTATTTAGGGTGAGACAAAAAAGATGTCAAAAGTCAGTACCAGAATCTGCTTTACCTCATAATTTTATCACCAACACATATACTTCATTTTAAAAAAGTAATCTGTTAGGGTTCTGGCTCTGGCTACATCTTGACAAAATTTCTATTTCGCTTCGTGAACCAAATTTGTTTTTCATCTACAAGATTTTGGCTATGATTATGCTTGGATAAAAGGAAGGGTACTAAGTGAAGATATGAAATAAAATTTATTTCTTTATATACAAGTGTAATTATAGTATTATTTCTTTTTATTATATACTTTTTGTACAGGGCCAGCGATAAGAACAGCCAGGAACAAAATGTTATTGCAGAATTTAAAGATAATTTTAATAATTCTTCTCCAGAATCACTCATTTTTACGGGTTAACTTCGGTCTGACTTCGGTTAACTGGTTTTACTTGACAACTTTTTACTTGACGTAGTGTCAATTCAAAATTTTTTTTTGATTTCAAATTCTGCACTTTGGTATATTAAGAGATCGTCCGTAAAAAGAAAATATATATAAACAAAAGATGTTATTGTGGGGACTATAATAAAAAAGAAGGATGAAATTATTGGGCAACCTACAGTAAGATTAGCCATGAAACATGTGGTAGATCTCGATAAAAGAAACATATTTTTTCTTTATCGTTTTTCAAATAAGTCCAAAATAACAGAGTTATTTTACTTTGAAAATTTCCAAAAATAGCTATTTATGTAACTAGTACCTAAAATGATGTTTTTTAGGACGAATCATTACTGTTTGCGGACGAGGCGTTAGCCGAGTCCGAAATAGTAGATGAGTCCTAAAAAACATAATTTAGGTACGTGTTACATACACTATTTTTTGTCATACGCTTTTTACAGTTTTTTAGAACAGGGTGTCCCAGAAATAAGTGCAAATATTTTAAAGGGTGGTAGATCTCGATAAAAGAAACATATTTTTTTTCTTTATCGTTTTCAAATAAGTCCAAAATAACAGAGTTATTTTACTTTGAAAATTTCAAAAAAATATTTTTTGCTAAAATTTTGAGAACCACTGGATCTTTTCTGGATTTTCTTTCTAGTAAATTTAATCTAATAGCTATGTTGCCATATTATCAAGAAATTATGTTTTTAACTAAAAACTAAAAAATAAAATTTCGAATTTTCGAAATTTTTTTTTCGCGAAAAAAACCTCATAGGCGTGTTTCTGGGGTTGAAGTATACTACCAGTTAAAATATCTGCACTTATTTCTGGAACACCCTGTATATACAGGGTGGTCAGAACTGTATTCCGGAAACTTCGGCAGCATATTCTGCAGATTAAAATAAGTAAAAAAGTTCGAATAAATGTATGTCCTTTCGGAGATACAGGGTGTACAAATTTCATTTTTAGTTCATTTTTTTCCAAATAATTTCTACAGTAACTTCAATATTTGGATGAAAATTGGTGTCTGGAAGCTTTTTGACATGAGAAATTTGATTTTGGTGTCAATATGACTCCTACTAGTAGAGGGCGCCACCTACATATTTTTTAAATGTTTTGAAGAGCTATAACTTTTTGTCCGTACCTGTATAAAACTACTGAGTAAAAAAATATACATTTACGACGTTATTTACGTAAAAAATGTGTCTTGGTAAAAATCGCTACGAGTATTAGTTTTCGAGATATTTTATGAAATTATCAATACCTGTCATCATTGACATACTTTAAACATGTTGACTAAATAGTTATTAGACTGAGATCATAAATTTGAAAGTTTTTCTGTCATAAGTTCAACGGAAACTGTTTTATCAACATTTATTTGCAGAAAAATTTATGATTAATTTAAAAAAAATAAAAATTTCTCAAATTTATTATTTCAGTGAAATAACTATCTACTTAACGTGTTTATTTTTCATCAATAATGACATGTATTGACTATTTCTATTCTAAATATCTTGAGAACGGTTACTCGTAGCGATTTTTACAAAGAGATATTTTTTACGTAAAAAGTCACAGAGATGTATATTTTTTCCTTCGGTAGTTTTATACTGGTACGGACAAAAAGTTATTAAGCTTCAAAACAATTAAAACACATGTAGGTGGCGCCCTCTACCAGTAGGAGTCATATTGACATCAAAATCAAATTTCTGATGTCAAAAAACTCCAAGACACCAATTTTCATGGAAATATTGATGTTACTTCAGAAATTATTTAGAAAAAAATCGAAATAAAAATGAAACTTCGACACCCTGTATCTCTGAAACTAAGCATTTTAGGACCTACATTTATACGAACTTTTTTGCTTATTTTTATCTGCAGAATATGCTGCCGAAATTTCCGGAATACAGTTCGGACCACCCTGTATACTTTGCACATCTTATCAAGAAGCCACCGGACTTGTGGCAGATGCTACTTTGCTAAAAATGTCGTACTAACCAAGTAACTGACCAGTAATACAACATAATATAATATAATAATATGACAATTCGCTCTTTACTTGTTGATTGTGTTTGCGCAAATTGAGAATGTATGTATATTGTAATATTGGCTCACCCAGTATGATAAAATAAGAGAAACGCCAACCCGAAAAAAATAATATATAAATATTTTATTTGTTAAATCAATTTTAATCATTTATAAATATGAATATTTGAGAGTTATTCAATATCAACAGATTTTAATGTGTAGGAAAAAATCCTCAATTTAAATTACATATTTTATTTCCATGTTGCTAGCTTTTATCGTATAAAAAATTGCGCTAGAAACCGATGACGTGTATAATTGAAATCCGTAAGCCACATGGGACATTCTATTGAGGTTCAAACTATTTAATCATATATTATACTCTTATCTAAGTGTAGCACCTTCGCCAGCTGTGCATTTAGTAGCAGATTACTTCCTTTTCATTGAGAAATAAAATACCTTATCACACAGAAACAAATTTTTCACATTGTGTTACAATATATACAATTTATATGATATAGTTCACTAAATTTTGTATAAAATTAAAAATTATATTAAGTTCGCTTTGAATCACCTTTTTAAATCGTCAAGATAAATATGAAGTTATTGTAACTAAATGTCTAAAAGAAAATATTTACTATTTCTTTCAGTGTATGTTCGTTCAAAACCGCAATCGATTCTATTTCAATTTTCCAAATAATCGAGTTACTGATAAATTCTAGAGCGTCTATCCCACGCGTAAAATTAACCCTTGTTCGGCAATATAAAATGGACTGCACAGCCTGTTCACTTCATAGCTTCCAGTTCAGTCAGAGAAGAAACACAACGACAAAATCTATAAAGTCTACCAAGTTTTACCACACAAGGCACCACGCGCTAAAAATAACATTATTTTTCCTCCATCATGATACCGTTTAAGAAAAAAACAAACGACATTATAAAAAATGTTGCCGTCTTACTAATATTACTCTGTATATCGAAGAATTGTTTTAGTTTTGTTCAAGAATCCGAGAAAATCAAGAAAAACCTTTATGAAGTAGAACGTCGGCAAAATTCGCCGTACAAAGATGAATCCCGTCGAATAATAGCTGAATCTAGACAAGAAGAAATAGCTACTTCTACCAACATTCGAGATGTTCGGGCAGATTCGCGGCAGTCAAGAATCGATGCCAAAGATATCCGAACTGACTTTAGAGAAATTAGAAGTGAATTATCCAGAACTGGTAAGAAAAACCTGATTATTGACGATAAAAAAGAATGGGCACTAAAAGTAAATAAGAACAAACCATATTACTCCCTTAGACATAAACAGAGCCAATATTCAAACTCAGAAAGTGGTAACGGTGTGTCAAGTATACAATTAATACGAGATTTAAACAACGGACGTCAAGAAGCACAAGTTTCTGAACGCAAAATTCAAGAACGTCTTTTTAAGAAAACAGACAATAAGCGATATTTTCGAAATCCTAGTTTTCCAAAACGAGATATCCCCCGAGAACGTTCAATTCTAGCAGATCCTCGAAGAGAAACTGAAGAACGTTTTTCTGATAATGAAGACAGGTCTATAGAACGACGATGTACTCTACAAGAACGTTCAGTTCGAGCAGATTCTCGCCGAGACACTGAAGAGCGTCTCGCTGATAGAAGACTGAACAATCAACTACTTTTTCGTAAACCCAGGACTACAGAACGACAAGAAACTCTCGGCGAGCGTTCAATTCGAGCAGATTCTCTTCGAGAAACTGAAGAACGTGTTTCTGATGGAAGATTAAACAACCAACGATATTCTCGTAATCCCAGATCTACAGAACGTGATAGTCTTCGAGAACGTTCAGTTCGAGCTACTACTAATCCATATTCTCGTCGGGACACCGAAGAACGTCTTTCTGATAGAAGATTAAACAATCAACGATATTCTCGTAAACGCGCGTCCATAGAACGACGAGATACTCTACGAGAACGTTCAGTTCGAGCAGATTCTCGTCGGGACACTGAAGAACGTCTTTCCGATAAAATATTAAACAACCAACTAGCTTCTCGTGATCCTAGATCTACAAAACGTGATAATCTTCGAGAATGTTCAGTTCGAACAGATTCTCGCCGAGATACTGTACTTCCAGCAGATTCTCGCCGTGATACTGAAGAGCGTCTCTCTGATAGAAGAATACATTCTCGTAAACTCACGTCTACAGAACAACAAGAAACTCTCGGCGAGCATTCGGTTCGAGCATATTCTCGTCGGGACACCGAAGAACGTCTTTCTGATAGAAGATTAAACAACCAACAATATTCTCGTGAACGCGCGTCCATAGAACGACGAGTTACTCTACGAGAACGTTTAGTTCGAGCAGATTCTCGCCGGGATACTGAAGAACGTCTTTCCGATAGAAGATTAAACAACCAACTAGCTCGTGATCCCAGATCTACAGAACGTGATAGTCTTCGAGAACATTCAGTTCGAACAGGTTCTCGCCGAGATACTGAAGAACTTCCAGAACGACGAGATACTCTACGAGAACGTTCAGTTCGAGCAGATTCTCGTCGGGACACTGAAGAACGTCTTTCTGATAAAAGATTAAAAAACCAACTAGCTTCTCGTGCTCCCAGATCTACAGAACGTGATAGTCTTCGAGAACGTTCAGTTCGAACAGATTCTCGCCGAGATACTGTACTTCCAGCAGATTCTCGCCGTGATGCTGAAGAGCGTCTCTCTGATAGAAGAATACATTCTCGTAAACTCACGTCTACAGAACGACAAGAAACTTTCGGCGAGCATTTGGTTCGAGCATATTCTCGTCGGGACACCGAAGAACGTCTTTCTGATAGAAGATTAAGCAACAAACAATATTCTCGTGAACGCGCTTCTATAGAACGACGAGTTACTCTACGAGAACGTTCAGTTCAAACAGGTTCTCGCCGAGATACTGAAGAACTTCCAGAACGACGAGATACTTTACGAGAACGTTCACTTCCAGCAGATTCTCGTCGTGACACTAAAGAACGTCTTTCTGATAGAAGATTAAACAACCAACTAGCTCGTGATCCCAGATCTACAGAACGTGATAGTCTTCGAGAACGTTCAGTTCGAACAGGTTCTCGCCGAGATACTGAAGAACTTCCAGAACGACGAGATACTTTACGAGAACGTTCACTTCCAGCAGATTCTCGTCGTGACACTGAAGAACGTCTTTCTGATAGAAGATTAAACAACCAACAATATTCTCGTGAACGCGCATCCATAGAACGACGAGATACTCCACAAGAAAGTTCAGTTCGAACAGATTCTCGCCGGGACACTCGAGAACGTCTAGCTGGTAGAAGACTAAACAATCAACTACATTCTCGTGAACCCAAATCTACAGAACGACAAGAAACTCTCGGCGAGCGTTCAATTCGAGCGGGTTCTCGTCGAAACACTGAAGAGCGTCTCGCTGATAGAAGACTAAATAATCAACTACCATCTCGTGAATCCAGGTCTACAAAACGACAAGAAACTCTCCACGGGCGTTCAGTTCGAGCAGATTCTCGCCGGGACACTGAAGAGCGTCTCGCTGGTAGAAGACTAAACAATCAACTACATTCTCGTGAATCCAGATCTACAGAACGACAAGAAACTCTCGGCAAGCGTTCAATTCGAGCATATTCTCGTCGGGACACCGAGGAACGCCTTTCTGATAGAAGATTAAACAGCCAACGATATTCTCGGGAACGCATGTCCATAGAACGACGAGATACTCTACGAGAACGTTCAGTTCGAGCAGATTCTCGTCGGGACACTGAAGAACGTCTCGCTGATAGAAGACTAAATAATCAAATACATTCTCGTGAACACAGGTCTTTAGGACGACAAGAAACTTTTGGCGAGCGTTTAGATGCAGTAGATTCTCGTCGGGACACTGAAGAACGTCTTTCTGATGGAAAATTAAACAACCAACGATATTCTCGTGAACGCAGGTCTATAGAACGGCCAGATACTCTAAAAGAACGTTCAGTTCGAGCAGATTCTCGTCGGGATACTGGAGAACGTCTTTCTGAAAGGAGACTAAATAATGAACTACATTCTCGTAAACCCAGGTCTACAGAACGACAAGAAACTCTCGGCGAGCTTTCAATTCGAGCAAATTCTCGCCGCAACACTGAAGGGCGTCTTTCTGATAGGAGATTAAACAACCAACGAAATTCTCGTGAACGCATATCTATAGAACGTCTAGATAGTCTACGAGAACGTTCAGTTCCAGCAGATTCCAGATATGTATCTTCAGAACAGGTTTCTACCAGAACTGACAGGCATTTCAATAAGAGATTATTTAGTACAAACGGCAAGTTATCACAAGTATTGCACAATGTTTCTTTATAATAATTATACTATTCTCTTTCAGAAGCCGATTCAAGAAGTGGAGATGTAAATATTGTTTCTGAATTTATTCCATATTTCAAAGAAAAGTACAATTCAGCAATAACCGCCGGTCAAGTAATACTTACATTAGCTCTTCTAGGACCAATTATTTTTAATAAATCTAAGAACAACTTAAGGTAATAGATGTTTATTAAAGTAGCATGTGCACCCGATGTGCACATATTTATTTTATATAAAGGTTAATTGTTAGGTTATGTTGCTGGAGTTTGAGATCAAGTTTGATCCCTCACTCGGAGGCCTTGGACCCATTGCGATACCCCTGTATTGTTGTACCAAACTTTCCTCTCATTTTTTCTTTGCGTTAAAGCACTTCCAGGTCTTTTCAAAGTAGCATGTGTCCGATGTCGCTGATGTTGGCTTCTACTGCTCCCTCTAGTACCTCCAAAAAACCTTACCCTAAAGTTTTAAAGCGTCGGTATTCCAGTGCCGGACAGTGGCACAGCAGGTGCTCTATGGTTTCTCCTTCCTCTCCGCATTCTCTGCAGTAGTCGTCGTTGGAAATCTTCCATCTCACGAGGTTTACCCTCTTGGGGCAGTTTCCAGTGATGACACCTACAATTAAGCGTACTAGCTTCTTTTTGTGCTCTAATAGTTGTTTTGTTTTTTTTGCTATCTACCACTGGCCACAGTCTTCAAGCTGTAGTGCAGTCCTGACGGTGTTGCCACGTCCCTTGCTGCTTGGCCTTGATGGTAGTTCCTATAGCTTCCTTCAGTGTGTGGATCGTCACAAGTCATCTGCCACGGCTTCTCCCCTGGCCTCCTCTTTGGCTAGTCTGTCTGCTTCTTGATTGCCCACCACATTGCTGTGGCCTGGCACCCAGCACAGAGTAGCCCCGCCTTGACGCAGCCAGGACAATGCTTCTCGACAGTCCATCACAGTTTTTGATATAACTGATTGCATTGTGATGCTTCATAAAGGTTTACGTTTTTTCCCAAGCTGTCAGAGTATATCACGATATCCCCTATTGGTCTATCAGCAATTTTCCCTCGTATACAACTAGCCGCTTCCTTTATGGTGTAAACCTCTGTTTGTAGAACATTACAGCCATCCGATAGCCTTAAAGATCGTCGGATATGTTCTTCTGAGAAGATGCCTATACCTGTGCCTCCTAAAGTTGCAGAAGCATCTTTGTAGATTGCTACCTCTTGAGTGTTCATTACTCGGTTGCTTTCCTATTCTTCTCTTGTCGGGATGCGAATCCTTATCCTTTCTCCAAAACCATGTTTGGTGAGCATATCCGTTTTCTGTTGTCGCAGATGTGGACTAGTGCTCGCCATGATTTTCCCTATCACTGGCAAAATCCTCGAGTGACCGTAGTTGGTCTGGTTCCACAGATTGGATTCCCTTAATCTTAGAGCACCCTTAATAGCCAGATCGTTCACGAGAGAGTCGATTGATTACAAGTCCAGAATGGCCTTCATTATCAGAGAGGTAATGATCGGGTTCATTACAATCAGCCACAGCAGGTATGATAATACCAGCAGAGGTGATAATACCCCTCCTTGTGGCGTACCCTTTGTTGCGCGCTTTTTGATTAAGCTGTTTCCCATCTCCAAGATTGATTGTATATACTCTTTTATTTTATAATTAATATTTTGTAAAAATATACTTATCTTATTTCAGATTATTCGAATGTCAGGAGTTTTGGATAAAGAAGATATTTTAAATTTTTAATTTCCGGGAATATCCAAGAAATATCTATTCTATGACGACTTTTGGCAAAGCTTCACGGTACCTTCCTTAGTAATAACTAGCATAATTCTATTAGAGATATTTATTGTTGTTTATTTTCAATGAATATTTATTACAAATACCAACCAAATAACAAATAAATAAATAGTATTAAATGATATAAAAAACACGTATAACATTGTATTTAATCTATGAAACGTTAAAATAATTTATCAAAACCTTCACATAATTAAAATTCTACAAAATGTTATTATTTCAATACATATATAAATGTAATAAAAATGTTAGAAATATATAATCTAAAACTATTTAGTGGAAAATAAATTTTAAAAATATAAAAAGAAGGGTGTATTTATTTAATTTTTTTAATGCCTACATATACACACATGGCCAAAATTATTGCATATATTGTTTAAAACTATACGGAAAGGAATTTAAAGAATCTTTTTTTATACATAGCTTTGATAATCTGTAATAAACATTTTTTTGTTAAAATGGATATGGTAAACAATGTTTATCGTTCAGATCCAATATTATTACAAATTCTCGCACATTTCGATTTGTGGTCTCTTGGGTTTCAGAAGAAATTTGACCAATGTTTTGACCTTAGAATGCCTAGAAACATTATTTCACAGTTTAATAGAGTCACAATAGTAACACTGTCTCCACAGGGCTATCGGCAAGTTGCAATAGCTGAAATTGTAGGAGTTAACCAAAGCGATGTTTCGCGAATATTAATTAAAAATTCAGGGAGACAAACGAGGTTACAGACCGGCCTGGCAGAGGTAGAAAGAGAGTTACTACTGCTGTTCAAGACCGTCAAATATCCCTAATTGCACGACGCAATGCCCTGCTTTCTAGTACTGCTATTAAAAATGAGTTAACTCGCCTTGAAGGAGTAAATGTTTCAAGAAAGACCAAAGCAAGAAGACTCCATGACAGAGGATTATATTTAAGGAGGCCTCTACGTGTTCCGAAGCTTAATTTACAGCACAAAATTATGCGACTACAAAGGGCTGAGGAGATGAGAGCAAATGGACCTAATTGGAACTTCGTCATCTTTAGTGATGAAACAAGAATAGGCCCAGTGTCAGACTCGCGACGAACTTTGGTCTGGAGAGCATCTGGAAGACGAACACGCTTGAATGCAGCTCAACCCCGTGTCCCGTTTCAAGGGCGAAGCATTATGGTATGGGCAGGCATAATGCACGGAGCTCGAACTCCTCTTGTTTTTATTGATGGCACAATGACAGGTCTCATATCTTAGAGACGTCTCATATCTTAGAGACGTCTCATATCTTAGAGACGTTTTAGAGCCTATTGTGCGTCCATTTCGAGGGGCAGTGGGGGATGAATTTGTTTACATGGACGATAATGCTCCTCCCCAACGCACTTTAGCGGTTCACGAATTTTATGAGGAAGAGGGTATAAGGAAAACTGTGGTGGCCACCGATGTCTCCAGATATGAATGTGATCGAGCATGCTTGTGACATGCTGAAACACCATATTGCCAAAAGGAATTATCCCCCCCGTACCTTAAATGAATTAAAAATTGCTGCGCGCGAAACATGGGAAGCCATTCCTCAACATCTTCTGGACAACTTAATTGAGAGCATGCCACGTGGTCTCACAGCTTGCATTGAGACTCGAGGAGGCAATACAGACTATTGGTTGTGAGAAATAATTAAAATTGTTTTCAATATTTTCTGTTTAAAATGAAATTTGTTTTTGTTGATTTTCACTCATTATGAAATAAAATTAAAATAACAGCCTAGTTCCACTTAGATTTTTAATTTTATATTAGTTAGTCGTATAGTAAGCCAATAATATGTCCAAAAATATAAAAAGAACCATATTAGACCCAAAATAATATAAAAATATCGTTATATGCAATAATTTTGGCCATGGGTGTAAATTGTTCGAATCTTTGATATGCGCAGGGTGGTCCATTAGTGCGAGGAAGTCCAATGTCGTCGTCGTTGTTGCAGTATGAAAAAAGTTTTATACGTGCATGGTTTATAAAGGTGCATATCCTAAAAATATTTTGTTGTATACAGGGTGTCACAAAAAGAAATTAAGATAAAATTTTAAGTTTTTTTTTCAAAATTACACCCCCCATTTTTCTGTGGATAATTGGCTCAGCATAAAATTCTGCAGATTCTTATTTGAAGCACTATGCACTGTGTTGCCATTCTATTTCTTATTTAGTAAAACTTTGGATAAAACACTATATCCATAAAATGATTAAAAATTGAACTATATACACTCACCGGCACGAAAAACGAACACCTTAAAATTTTCATGAATTTTAAAATTTTATAACGGGTGTGTGTCTCAAAAGTGGCTTACCCCTCTATAATGCCTTTTTTGGGCCCAGGAATCCAAAAATGAAATAAAATACCGGGTGTTCCATAAGAAAAAATATAACTTTGGTATGGATCTTAGTTCTGAAACATCCCGTATATTTCAAAATAATTTTAAATTGTGCACATTGCCTCCCCACATATACCCATAAAATATTTTGTTTCTATATCTTTCCGTTTTCGTATAATCAACCGAGGCTAATGAGGTACGCCACCCTGTATACCGCCACGTTTTGGAAACAGTTCGAAACAAAACGAAATTGAACGAGTAGTTTTGAGGCGCTTTTAAGAAACGAAAGTAGATCGAGACAAACCGAAATAGGTCTAGACAACCGGAGATAAGCCGAAACGCAACAAGGTTAAGTGACGAAAGGAGACCTTGACCTGTCTCGTTATATATATATATATATATATATATATATATATATATATATATATATATATATATATATATATATATATAACGAGACAGGTCAAGGTTTATCTATGTCCCCTGTAGACGTAAACTCGAATACAGAAATTCTATATCTCTGCTCGAACCATCATAAAATAATTAACTAGAAAGAAGTGTCAACTCTGTGTTAAATCGTGGAAACACGATACGCCACCGAAAGCCTTCGTTGTCGTCTGGAGAACTAATTTTCCAATTGACAAGTTGACATGATGGCTTCGTATTTATTTCCGTTTCCGGTTATTCAATGGCGGGCCCTCTTTCAGTTTAAATGTATTTTGTACCAATTTTGTACTCTTTCTTATCATAAATAAAACAAAACAAAATTTTATTCAAACATATTTATTTGAAATATTAGACAACGTGACTAAATATATATAAAAAATAAAGAATTGAATGATTTCAACAGCAGTTACTTAATTATATGCAATTTTAACGTAAATTAGTAAGGTATAAGCATGACTTACAGTAATTTGTAAATAAATACATGTATTCACAGCCATCAGGGACAGAAAACGTGGACAGGAACATGAAAACGGGAGCCTTATACAAAAACCTGAAAACAGAAAAACAAATTTTTTTATACTAAAATTAACAAATAAAAATATCAGTAGGTATAAAATACAAATATACTGTTTAAAAAAAGCGTCCATTATTCCCAAAGAGACCTGATTTATAAATCAAAAAGAAGCAAAAAGAGACTTTTAGTCGGATAACAATCGGATTGTATCAGTCAGATTTATTGTGTGCATTATTGACAATAAATCGCACATACTGGAGATAACTAATGTTGGTTATAGTTAAAAATGATCTTACCTTGCTGTAAATTGTTTCCATTTTCAAATCGCCGATCATAAACATAACAAAATTTTCTTGCATCTAAAAAATACAGAAATAGTGTTTATTTACTACCTATTTTTAATATACATGGGACATACCTAGTACTGCAGAAACGTCTTTTTCTCCAGGATTTTTCATGTAATATATATTTTATATGCTTTATTACCTTTATATTTATAAGTTTCTGCCGAAATATCAAATTGAATTTACAAAACAAAACTAAACGGACAAAATTAAAATGGCGTCGAAATTTGTTCTAGAACAAATCTGAAGTAGTCTCTGAAATCTGTCAATTCTAAACTGTGAAGTTAGACAATAGTTAGAGAGAAACATTGCTGTTCTTGTCTAGGCGGCCATACTTGTCGTCAGGAGATGACAGGAATGACACTAATGACTGTTTCCAATTTTCCTATTTCACTGTCACCCCCCTGCGAACCATCAGCCACGTATAGCCACGTACTGGCACGTACCATGCCATGATTATGGAGTGCAGAGGTACACACTACACTCCATATTACCATAAGGAACCTCTACCCGAGAAGAACAATCTCTACATTCCATAGCCACATGCCATGATATAACATAATTTTTGTATGCGCAAATGACTAAAGAATACAAGGACAAATAACACCCGAGAGCCATATCACCAAACAGTGCCGTGGCCGTGGCACATATTTTCTTAACTTAGCTGCTTGAATAGATATTTATATTTTTTTATAAATGTTTTGACTACGCCTATGATGGTAGCGTACTAATTAATTAGGAAAAAAAGGTATTAAAATTAGTGATGGGATAACTCGAAAATTCTCGTAAAATGTTAACAAAAAGGTACAAAACTAGTATCGACGTATATCACATATCAAGTACATACCTATTACAGAAATTAACTAACAGATGCGAAAGAACACCGAATTCCGCGTTTCGGTTTCTGTGACCTTCAGAAAGAGTTCATAGACAATCCGCATCAATGTTTGTGTCAATGTATAGTTTGCGTTATTATTTGTTTGGTTTAAAATAATCTGCACCAATATGTTATCGAGTAGTGATGGGCAAAACTGTTATTTTTAGATAACAGTTGAAACTGTTATAGTTATTTATAAAAAACAGCTTAAAATAACAGCTTAAAAATAACAGGTTTCTTTATTATATCTGAAAGAGTATGAGGCGGTCACCGCCAGGCGTATTAACGCAGTTGGAAGTTGCAACAATGACGTGCTCGGTGGTAGTATTTCCAGGGTGTCAAAACATTTCTAAATATCGATTGTTATCTAAAATGCCTTTCTAAAAACGGTGGTTGTTTACAAATTGCGATATAAAAAAGCCAAAATTCCGGCACTCATCTATACCTATACATTCCGATCAAATACGTTTAAATAAAATATACGACGGCCTTCCCATAAGAGCAATGAGAGGATTTACGTCCCAGTATTGAAGGAGGACAGAAAATCGAGTCGAATGTTCAAGACATAGGTTCATCTTTGTTTAGTCAAACCTCCTACAAACCAAGGATAGACTTATGTAGGAAATGCATTGAAATTCTATAGCCATCCTTCAATATCGGGACAGGAATTTAAGCGGTACCCTCCGTATACTTTATTTTAAACGTATTTGATTCCGATCTACCTACGCCCTGCCCCTCGATCCGCGTAG